AACCACCTCCACGATGACAACCACCACCATAACAAAAAAGCCTCGACGAACTAAGGCCCAAAAATCCTCCGACACATCCGCCATGGTCCCTCTTGCCCAGCGGGTAGCCACGAAAACTCACTTTATCGGCGCTCATGTCAGTGCCGCCAAAGGTGTGGCCTCGATTCCTATCTCGATTCCTCTTTCAATTCCTACTAACACGTCCAAGGCGTCCAAAACTCCATTCTCAATTCCGTCCATATTGGCGCCAACGCCTTTGCCCTCTTCCTCAAATCCCAACGCAAATGGGCCTCACCACCGCTCGACCCCAAAAATGTTAAACTCTTCAAACAAATGTGTCACGAGCACGACTACAACCCAGGGAAACACATGGTCCCACACGGGAGCTATCTCGTCAACCTCGCGACACCAGATCCAGAGAAGGCGAAACAGGCGTATGCATGTTTCTTGGACGACTTGAAGCGGTGTGAAGAGCTTGGGATTGGACTATACAATTTCCAGTCAGTCAAGATATCTCTACCAATACTCCCATCCTAACCCCTCCAGCCCAGGCTCAACCCTCGGCACCCCCCGCGACGCCGCCATCGCCCGTCTCGCCGCCCACCTCAACACCGCCCACGCCGCCACCACCACCGTCACGCTCCTCCTCGAAACCATGGCCTCTCCCACCTCCAACCACCTCGGCACAAGCTTCTCCGACCTCTCCTCCATCATCTCTCTCATCGAGGACAAATCGCGGATTGGTGTTTGTCTCGACACTTGCCATATTTTCTCTGCGGGCTATGATATCCGTACTTCTGTTTCTTACAACGAGGTGATGGCGGAGTTCGATAGGGTTATAGGGCTAAAGTATCTCAAAGCCCTGCATATCAATGACTCCAAAGCACCATTTGCGAGTGGGAGGGATTTGCATCAGAATATCGGCCAGGGATGGATTGGGTTGGAGGCGTTTAGGTGTATCGTGAATGATGAGAGATTGCATGGGGTTCCGATGGTGTTGGAGACGCCGTTAGAGAGTGAGGGTGACACCAAAACGTGGGCGGAGGAAATCAAGTTGTTGGAGAGTATGGTGGGGAAGGGGGAGGAGGATATCAAAGAGGAGGCAGAGAGGTTATGGGCGTTGGGAGAGAAGGAGAGGGAGAGGGTGGGGGCGCAGGTGGAGAAGAAGCGGGAAAAGGAGAGGAAGGCCGCGGAAAAGAAGGAGGGCAAGGTGACGGTGAAGCGGGGGAGGAAGAAGGTTGAAGTAGAGGTGGTGGAGGAATCAACAGTCAAGGTAACAGCTACCACACTGGCAAAGCGAGGCCGGAAAAAGGCAGTTAAAACAGAAGACACCGACTCTGATGCATCCGCACCCGAGCCCAACCCGCGCTCAAAACGGGCACGAAAGCAAGTCAGCATGAAGGAAGAGAGCACTGAGAGTGAGAGTTCATGAGATATCCTTGTTACATTAATTATACGTCTAGACGACTATTAAACATTATCCCCTACTCGGAAATCTTAAACCCCCCCTTCACCAACCTCTTCCACACGCCATCCGGATCCACCCTCCTCTCGACCCCTCTCAAAAACCCCCTCTCCTCCTCGCCATAGCTCGCAATCACATCTTGATCAAACATGGCATAATTCATATACACCCACCTCTCCCAGATGCCCCTCCCCTTGGCCTCCTCCACCAGCCTCCCAATCGCCTTATCCACGGCCTCATACACCTCCTCATCAATCCTCTCTTTATCCCAGATGACATTGAAATGCACACTCATCAGGCGATCCCTATTCTCAATCCCCATGACATTCTGCTTCCTGCCTTTCGAAATCACCTTTCCGAGCGGAATAAACGACAGCGTCACCATCGCGCCCTTCCCTGCAGAAAGACCGAAAAACTCCTTCTTCATCACCTTGACACACTCGGAGAGATACTCTTCATCGGGGTTCGACACGGTGAGCTGCTTCATGATCTGCCGCTTCCCGTAAACAAAATCCGGGCTCTGACCATCAGATATCTCCTCTATCCTGGCCGGGCCCAACTTCTTCGCCGGGATCCCGAGCAACGCAGACGTTGTCGTTCCAAGCCCTTGTGCCTTCCGGAAGGGCTTAAACACTTCCGGCGTCTCCCCCTTCCCAGGCAGCTTCGTGTGCACCGTAATCGTCAACGCGATATCCACGACCCCGGCCACCATCCCGACAGTTGAGATCAAATGCGAATCCTCATCGACCGGGCCAGCAGCGTTAAACCTCGCCGTCTCCCTCAGCACTCCCGGGATACTCAAGCCCGTCGAATACGTCATGCCCCCCCAAACCTTGCCCTCCGCCTGATCATCAATCTGGATTAAACGATACCTGAACGCCAGCACCACCAGAAACCGTCCCCCGGAGCCCTTCAACGCGCGGAACAGCTCCGGATCTGATGTCGCCGTCACCTCCTTGATCTCAGAGCTCGGGAGGAGAACAAGATAACCCACGATGTTGTCACACCCGAAGCCAACCGTGTACGCGTAGAAACTGATCCCGCCTCCTAGCGAGAGGCCGCCGACGCCAACAGACTCTGCGCGCCCGCCCGCGACGGTAAAGCCGAGCGGTGAGAGGTGGGAGTATACTTCCCCCCAGCGCAGACCGGAGTCGAGGAGCACGGTGTTGGTTTCCGGGGAGAGCGTGATGCGGCGGAGAGAGGAGAGGGAGAGGAGGATGCCGTTTTGGATTGACGAGAAAGAGGGGTTGTTGGAATGCCCTCCCGAGCGGATCGAGAATGGGGTGGAGGTGGTGGTGAGGTGGTGCAGCATTGTTGATGCGATTTTGGGGGTGGAGGGGGTGAGGATGCAGCCGGGGGGGAGAATCGCGTTGGAGGCTGGAGCCGGTTAGTGGTGAGGATTGATGAGGAGGGGGGACTTACCCCAATGCGCGGTGGTCTCGGTCTCGTAGGATTTGGTGTTTGGGAGGAGGACTTCGGCGGGATAGAGGGTTCCGAGTGTTTTGCACTGGGTGAGGTTAACTTCATATCATAATCAAGAAACAACGGAGAACTTACTGTGGCAGCAACAGATGCACTAACCCCCCCTCCTCCTTGTCCAGGACATAACAATCCAAGACCACACAGCAATCCGGGGAGCACCATCTTGAATGCTCAGTCTAATATCACTTCTCAAGTCGTGGTGAGTTCAAGGCAGGAACTCCGGGGGCTTTTAAACTCCCTAACCGACGTCTCCTTAGAGATACAAAGTACAGATTCAAAATATCGCCGAGTGTAGGATCCCGAAGCTGAGACATGAGATGGATGCTGGCATGCGAATTCATGTCGGCCAACGGATTCGGACAAATGGGTGCTGCTTTGGTGATGGCCTATCTGAGACATGTTCTGGAGATGGGTTAGTGCCCGATGTCTCGAATATTGGGGTATGGCAGCATTGATAAAATTACGATATAGAGGCTGGAGGTACGGGAGTATACGTACCATCTTACCGTGGGCTTAAATATGTGCCTGTGCTTAACTACACAAATGGCACGACATGAGTGTCATGTTTCCCCCAATTCAACCCGCAACACAAAGACCACTCATCCTCGCTATCTCCACCACCTCCTCGCACGGCCCCATGATGTTCAGGAATACCTCTCATCGGTGATTCAGCCCGTCAGTCAGACACGCATAGTGGGTTCGGACGTCGTGGTTCACTGTGATCGACGCGGATACACTAGCATAACGTGTCTCGGACGAGATGTCTCAGACTATATATACAGCGGCAAGTGGTGGATACGTCATTGAGAGTTGGATAGCACATTGTCCGATGTAACGAGGGTGTGCCTATGTCGAGAGATGGATACGAAAGGTTGAGCACTGGGGGTTAGGGTGAGAGTGGTTCTTGTGTAAAACGACTTGTTTCAACGGATAAAGAATGGACGGAACCCAAAATAAAAATGTGATTCGAGGCGGTCTACAAGTCCAGTGAATCAGTACCACATGTCATTTTTTGTCTCCCTTCTTCCACCCCTAACCCGCAACCCATCCCCAAGTCCCTAAACCACCAACATATTCCTCATCTCCTCCGTCCACCCTTCCCCCTCCCTCTCCCACCCTCTCCCCTCCTCCCCCGTATTCTCCTCCCCCACCTCTTCTCTTCTCCTTCTCTGCTGCTCAATATCCCACCTCACGACCTCACAATTCTCACACATGACCGTGCGGCACTCCGAACAGGTCACGCGTCTCCACACATCCCCGCACCCAGATCGGGGACTACGGACCAGGAGTGGGCTCCTACTGGTGTTGCCGCAGTGGCAACAGGTCCAGAGGGTGCGGGTTTGTGAGCTTTGTGGTGGGGGTGGAGAGGAGGAGGGAGAGGAGGAGGTTGTGGGGCTCATTGGGGGGTTGGGGGGCGGTTGGCGTTGGTGTTGGCGTGGCATGGGGTTGGTTTTTAATGGGTTGGGCGGATAACGTTAATTACGATGGTGATTTTGATGGGTGGAGCTTTGGGGGAAGGTGAGATGCTTTTGCCGATGGATAGTGTGAGCGGTATCGAAGTCGTGTTGCGTTATTGAATCTCGACTTGATGATGGCGCGATCTCATTGTATTCCAGTATCGTTCGGAGCGGTTGGAGGGAAGAAGTGGAAACGTACAACTTGGGGGAGAAGAGGTGATGAAGGAAACTTGGCCATAGAATGGAACTGGGGCTGGGAAGGTGGTTCTGGAAGTACTGACTATGTTTGTACGTCGATGGTTCTCTGGATTCGAGAAGAATAATCGTACCTAGGATGAGTTGTATAGTAGCTGTGCTACCCATAATAAAGGTTTAAATGACCAACTTGAAAAGATAAAGGTGAGCGCAGAGCGCCACGGCCTCCCAGCGGGAGGCCTCAGTTGACCGTCATTGAAGATAGGAATTTGCCTTCAAGATACCGTCAAATTGATAGCCTGTTTGAGTTTAAGAACTCCTGTGGGATGCCGATGGAAAACAAAGTCGCGCCGACACGGTGTCGGTATATAGCCGTCATCTAAAAATTTGTTGGACATTATTCCTCTGTGGCGTAACGGCATCGCACCTCACTCCTATCCTTATCCTACTTATTCTTAGAGGAGATTCCCGGTTCAAATCCGGGCAGAGGGACTTTCTTTTTATCTTTTGTTTTATTGCTTCAACTTAAAGTTTGCGCACTGACCAACGTCTGCCATGAGCACCAATTGACTCGGGTGATCAAACATGATTGGGTATTTATCCTCACTCGTTTAGCACCACCAACACGCGCACGCGCAGCCTTCTGACGCCAGTCAACACCTCCAGCGAGCTTGGTGCCACGGTATCTATCATCACCAACCTCACCACCAACTTCCCACCACAGCCCACCACTCCACCCATCATCTCCGACCTCAATGGCAACAAAACTCAAAGACCAGCGCCGGGCGGACCTCAGTAATTCGCATCACCACCCCCTCCCCTCACATCAACTAACCTCCCTAGTCGTCCCCTACACCCGTCCCGCCGCCAAAGAAGAAGGCCGTCCGTCTCCATCTCCTCCTCCTCTTCCCCGAACCCCCATCTAACGTTCACTTCCCAGCCGACATCTCGACGACCTTCGCAACCGCACTCCCCATGGCCGCCATGTTCACGCGCCAAAAAATGGTCGGGTGGATGGCAGTCGTGTTTGCGCTCCAATCGTTCCTCAACGAGCCGTCTACGTCTGCGGTGGTGGATACCGAGAAGCCGAAGCAGCCGGCGGTGTTTACGTTGGGGATGAGTGGGATGGCGTTGTTTGTGGTGAGTTTCTTGATGTGTGGAGAGGGATGATGGATGGATGGTGCTGATGATGAGGATGGGATAGACGTATATGCCGATGTTTTTCCCGAATTCAAAGTTGATGCCGGGGACGGGGACGGGGACGGGGACGGGGACGGGGCCGGCGCAGCCGGTGGCGCCGGAGGCGGCGGCCTAGAGGAGAGGAGAGGAATAGGGTGATGGGTGGTTGGTGTAGGGACAGCATGATGTTTTGGACCCCAAGGTCGTATATAGTGTAATTATTAATGCATCTTTACTGCTATGCTCGCATTGGTGGTTATTCAGCTTCTAGTTTATCCCACAGCGCCATACAATGGGGCTGGGCTTGAGATTTGGAACGGATGCTATCACCTTTGGCGCAATGATTGATCTATGACATTTGTTCATTTCCTGCCTACACCAAAGCAAACCGAGCCGCCGGCCAATCCGTATCCCAATTCTCCAGAAAGTCCACCTTCCCGACCCATAATCCTAAAAAAGTAAAGCCCACAACCTGATAACATGACATCATCTCATCAACACAGAACCCCCAACAGACTAAAGGTACAAATTGAACAGAAAAATGAAGGAAAAACGATAGACTAGTTTTGTCGAGATCATCCACAGAACCTTGGGCTCGACACTCAGGGACATCACACCTTTTAAAAGTCAGACTCGTCGGGATGCACAGCCCACGCCTCGATGTTATCGACTTGGCTCCAGTCGCTACCGCTAGTGGTTCGCTGTTCGCTCTTGGCCTTCGAGGGCTGCTTCTTCGGAATCTGGGGTTGGGGTAGCTGGGGCTTTGGGAGGGGCTTGATAGCAGGCGAAATCGACCGGGGAGGAGGCATGGAAGCCTCCTGTTCGTCAGAGCTCTTCGCATCGGCCTTGGTCTTACGGGACTTCCGGCTCTGGACCTCATTCCACTCGGGCTCCGGCTCCTGAACGTGAGGCGGGATAGCTTCCCAACTTTCGCCGAGGCCACGGGGCTCCTGTGGCGCAAAGGTATCGAGGAGGGTAGAGTTTACAGGAGTAGACTCTGAAGATCCGGACGGCTTTCCTGCGCTCCAAGAGCTAGAGCTAGTCTCGGGAGCAGGGCGGGCCTTCTCCGCAGCTGCCTGCTCGGCCCTCATAGACTGGCGATGTTGCTCGAAACGAGACTTCTGGTCGGCACGGGCGGCCTCCTTCTCGGCCTTCTTCTTCTCCTTCTTTTTAGCGTTCTTGCTCGCGTGAATGCCGGGCTCGGAAGTGGTAGACTGGGCTTTCTGCTTCTTGCTACGAGGGGGCTGAACGGGAGCTCCAATGCGGAGAACGCCAGGTCCATCGGTAGGGGCCTCGAGCATGTCTGAAGGGTCCCTCGAGCTTCCCGTAAGAGGAGTCGATTCCTCCTCGTCAATATCGGCATCCGCTCCAGATGTGCTGGCGGTGGCGAACGGCGAATGACCAGACGCGTTCTTCTTTCCGGATCCAACTCCGGTGACCTTCTGGCTCTGCATACGACGAGCGACATCCTTCAAGTTCACCTCCTCAGCAAGATCGTCGTCGGACGGAGCGTCGTCAGTTGTGGCGACCACCTCCTTTGGTGTGGTGGCTGGCTTCGCAGTCTTCTTTTTCTTCTTCTTCGATTTCTTTTCATCTGCTTCTGCCGTACTGCCCACAAAAATAGGCTTTGCTTTCTCAGTGGTTGCGCGAGCTGTGGCAACTGCTTGCTTCGCCTGCTTCGGACGCGACAGGAACCAGAACACACCGACGAGTCCGAGGACGATGCCCCACGAGAGCAGAGGGCCCGTGACGGACATGGTGACGGATGGAGATGATGAAGGTCCGAGTAGCGGGGATTTGTAGGCCGAGCGTTTGGTGAAATGCGGTTACGGAGGATGAAGGTTGCGGAGGCGGTCTTCTGTTGTGATCGCCGACGTGAGGCAATTCAAGTTCCTGCAACATTGTCTTAATACCTCGCTCAAGTCGTATGAACCCAGAGTCCAGAACAACTTGGACAGGAATGGAGAAGGCCTCGAACCTTTGCTTGAGGTGGTCCGCGGGGTCAATGGCACTGGTTATCAAACCGGAGGATGAGCAGCGGGATTGTTAACGAGGGTATTGAGTTGGAAGCAGGCTGGTCGTCGAAGCTGAAGCTTGATGCAGTGCAATTGAGATGCTGGAACACGAAGAGAGATTGTATCGGCGTTGTGGAAATGAAGAAAGAAGAAAGAAAGGGAGGTTGAGGAAGCTTGGGAGCAACCCCCTGCGAGCCGCAACGTGTTCTGATGGCGAGCCTTGCTGACTTAGCCTTGTTCAGCCTTCCGCTAGACGCTGGTGTCGTGAACCCTGGTGAACATCGATACATGAGGGACATGGAATAACGATGAGAGTTTCGCACGTTATATTTTTGAAAGGGTTAATGTTGATATTTCCATGACGCCCGCGAACGCTTGATACATAAATTTAAAACTTTGAATGAATCCTAGCACAGTCGGTCATCATCACAATTGCAGTCGTCTGAAAATCATGAGCGATGACCCATTTCATACATCAAGTATAGCTTTCAAAGGATGCCAACCCAACCACCATGGTTCCTTCGTGGATCAATGGTCTGCCATGACGGCCATAGAGTAGTCATCGAGATCAAACCAAGCGATCTTTATCAATATCAAGACAGTGGTGAAAACTACAATACTGGAAATGGAAAACATGAGTTGGAGGTGCAGAGGCACCGGAGTTAGCGGAGTTAGCGGGGTATACGATGGGCGTATCTCTTCAACCAGACACCTCACAAGCGGAGTTAAGCGGGGCGGAAACTCTTGGAGCACGATTGTACTCGATCCAAATTTAAAATGTACTGTGCAGATAGGTCATTGACACAAGGTATACGGTACTCTACAGCACCAAGATCTCCCCTCTTCCAACACCGCGTGCTTTATATAAGGCCTCCAGCTCTTCTCTCGTCTCTTTACCCAGCATACTTCCCAAGCCAGAGCTATCGAACACCCAATATGACCTCCACCATCCCCACCCGCAAGCTTGGCCGCAATGGACCTGAAGTAACCTCCATCGGTATCCTCCCCCCTCCTATACTCCCCAACAATTCTAACACCCCCAGGTTTCGGCTCCATGGGCCTCTCAACCTTCTATGGCCCCACCGCCTCCGATTCCGACCGCTTCACCGTCCTCAACGCAGCCATCAACTCCGGCTCGGCCTTCATCGACACCGCCCACATCTACGGCGATTCTGAATCCCTCATCGGCCGCTGGCTCCAAACCTCCCCCGACCTCCGCTCTCGCATCTTCCTCGCAACCAAATGCGGCATCGACCTCTCCAACGGGTGGGCCAACGCCAAAACACGCGGTGACGCCGAGTTCATCAAGCAGCAGATCGACACGTCGTTTTCGCGGCTCGGGGTTGACGTGATTGATTTATACTATGTGCACCGGATCGATAGCACCGTGCCGATCGAGGAGACGATTCGGACGATTAAGGAGTATGGTGTTGATACCGGGCGGATCCGGTATATCGGGTTGTCGGAGGCGTCGGCGGAGACGATTCGGAGGGCGAATGCGGTGCATCCGATTGCGGCAGTGCAGGTGGAGTATTCGCCGTTTGCGCTGGAGATTGAAGATCCCAAGTTTGGGGTGCTGGAGGTGGCGAGGGAGTTGGGGATTGCGGTGGTGGCGTATTCGCCGTTGGGACGCGGGTTGTTGACGGGGAAGTATAGATCGAGGAGTGATTTTGATGAGACGGATTTGAGGCTGCGGATGCCGCGGTTTTCGGAAGAGAATTTCCCCAAGAATTTGAGGTTGGCCGAAAAGTTGGAGGCGATTGCGAAGAGGAAGGGGGATGAGGTCACGGCGGGGCAGGTGTGCTTGAGTTGGATTTTGTCGAGGGGAGAGGATTTCTTTGTCATCCCGGGGACGAAGAGAGTCGGGATCGTGCAGGAGAATAATAAGGCTGCGCAGGTGAAGTTGACGGAGGATGAGATCAAGGAAATCAATGAGGCGATCAAGGAGTGCCAGCCAACGGGGGATCGGTATGGTAACATGACGGGATTGTATGGTGATTCGGCCCCGAAGAAGAATTAGTATAGACTTAGGACTGTCGTTCAGCTATAACTCAAGATATCCCAATGGGTTGTTCCATTATTGTTGAATACTACTCATGATGCTTGTGACTAAACCGTGCACAATACTTAGGCTGAAAACGAAGCATAGGAATGTAGAATGATATTTGTGACAGGTTCTACCTGTATTAGTTACAACTGCCAAAGTCAGTGATACAAACAACGAAACTACATAAAATCCAAACTTATCCCATCAATTGATGACCAAATTTCCAAAACCTTCGATCTGAAAGGTCCAGC